AACATTTTTCAGTTGATTTAATTAAATAAGAGAAGATTTATGGTCATTCGAAGTGTGTGTGAGATTTTTCTTACTAAAATCGATAGCTTGTCTTTTAACTTTACACACACAAATCACTCGATACAAACACAACGTGCTTTCACACTTTCTATTTTTCATAACTCTTAAGTTCAAGGTCCCTTGCTACATTATATTTGACTTTAATACTTCACTAGAACGTTGAATCTTCTTATTGGTGAGGTTTGAGATAATTTTAAGATAGACATCATCATTAGACACATGACTTGATCAGAGATATTCATTGACTTCCAAAAAGGATTTGATAAAAATATCTTCAAATACTATCACTTAATCATCACTTCAAATGACACCTTGTTCTTCAAGCACCAAAACTTAATCAAATCAGATAATATCTTGATCTCTAAGCATCACAACTTGAACAAATCATCAGATAACGACTTCACTTATCATCATCAAAACCAAAAGCCTTGATCATATTTTTTTATGAAGACTTCACTTTAGAATATTGTCATCATCCGAACTAAATATATTATTGTAGACATTATACCTGCAAGAACATAGATCCACACCTTTTAAGTGTGACTAGAGCCATCATTTTTCAATATCACCTTTCTATAAAAAAATAAATTAGACTCTTGACATTTCCCATTTTGTTTTCTTAATTAACATACTTCCTTAAAAAAATAGGTAGAATTCTCCTTTCTCTATTATCAACAATGAATCTTTAAATTATTTAACTTTAAAAAATTTTGGTTGTTAGTGTATAATGTGATGCCAATTCTAAATATGATAGAACCAAATTTAACTCTAAAAGTAAGAAGTATATTTTTCTAGACTACAAACGTGTATCAAAGGTGATATATTATTTTATTTCCATAATAAAAACCTCTTTATGACCTTTGAAAAAAAATCCCTAAACAATAACTCTCTTTTCACAACGCATTTTACTCGCAGTAACAACCATATTTTTCAAGAGAATTTCTTTTTCCATCCTATAATAAAAAGAAAAATCCTATGCAATTTCTAAAATATTTCTTAGAAACCAAAAATATATTTATGGTGCGCACCATGTATCACACACAAACAGTCCAAATGTGGTTTCACCCTATTCAAAAGGCAAAAATACAGCAGAATTATAGTCATGGTTGCAACCGGTATTGTATTTCCGATTTGTATAGCGAGAAGATTAAATTTTATGTCACCTTATTATTTTATATATTACGGAACTATACTTTCGGTATTATAAAAAATGAATATTATTTAAAATAATAACTAGCATGGACAAGGATGACCAAAATCATTTCTTCATCTTTCCATAAATCCTCTCAAAAACTCTTCCATTCTCAATCTATTTTTTCACTCCAAATTTTCATTCTTGTGGTTCATCATATTAAAAGGAGCTCGAAGAAGTGGAATATAAGGTAAAGTTTATTCATTTCAATCCTCATTCCTCATATTAATATGCTTTTCATTTTGAAAAAGGTTACGCTAAAGTGTTTTCAAAAGAGCCTATATTAGCAAACCACCTCCTACACCGACTCCACCAAAAATACCATTCATCGAGAAGATGTCGGTTTTTATGCACAAGTACATTAAACGGATCGTCAATGTCAAAGATGACGATAACTGTGGTTTTCAATTTGTTTCGAATTTGCTCGATAAAGGGAGAGAGGACACCATATTGTCCGAGATACTCTTATCAGAGAGTTAAGGAGCAATAGAGAATTATACAAACGTATACTCGAGACTAATAAAAAAATTGAGGAGATTTATGACGCGCTAGTACCTTGCGTAAGTGGATTTGCACCGGAAAAAAATGGATGTGCTTCCTTGAGATGGACCATTTGATAGAAAGTGTGTATGAGAGAGTGTATTAATCTTACAAGATACTGTTTCTCGAAAACTTTTTTCCCACTGCGCATTGCTCCACCACCAAATCTCAATGATCGTATCATATGTGTTGGTATCATCTGTGTTGGGTGAATTTCAAATCTGCAGCATTTTGTTCAAGTATATTTGAAATCAGGATATCGAATACCACTTACGTCACCGGAGTGGACAGATCATTACACAATCCCTTCTGATAGTTGTCGGACCAATTTATTAAAAGGATGCAAGACTGCAATAAATTGAACAAAATTGAAATAGAAAAAATAGAGAAAAATCAAAAGGGATAGCACCTATGGATTTGGTCAGCGACACTTATTTTAGATTATTTAAGTAGTTAAGTATCATTTTATTACATATGTCACTTTCTCAATGTATTATGATATGGAATATAGCCATTTTGTAATTTGACCAAAAATATCATCTTTCAATACATGAGATTTTTGTTTTTGTTTCTATATATGCTTTTGTTTCTATTTCTATTCTGGTTTTTAGTCTCAGGGGACTTACCGAAAATATATTTATGATACATATTTAGGTGGAACCGAAAATAAAAATTTAATTTATATTCTGTCACAGGATAGGATTTGTAAGGTCGGTATTTGCCTTCAACTACTATAAATAAGCTCACTTGACATATTATTTCATACGAAAACACCAAAAATCATAATGAACATCAAATAACATGTTGAAAATATTCACTTTATCGACAATACACCATCACGAGAATTTAAGTTCACCGAGTACACCACTCTCGAAGATTTGCAATACATATTGCAGGACCTACTACCTTATGGCGACAATCACAAAATTTTGAAGATCACTCGCTCGTCATCCGTTAACAAAGATGGGAAGCTTGAGTTCATCAATCGTAAGCTAAAGAACGTCACTGATATATGGGCTATATAGAATACTTTTACCCGTTTTTAAGCAAAAATTCCGATCGAGTTAGATGCAGCTATTTTGATATCGATTGATGATATTATCATGATGTTGCAACGTCTACGTAAACATTGAAGTGTAATGTTTAATGCATGTTTCAGTCCTTAATGTATTACCTATGTTATGAAATAAATTGTATTTTGAATTTGTAAAACTAATATTATTTAATGCTATTTTTCTGCTTTCTGTATACCACAAAATCGAAAATATAAATTTGGGTACAAACCAAAAATTAAATCTCGATTTCAGTCTATATTTTATTAAATTTTGACATGTTTCGAAAATACATTTCCGATTTCTAAAACATTTTTATAACTTCACGTAGTGCACTAGAAAATTATAAGATGGAAAAAGAAATCTTCATTTTTCAACACTATTGTTTAGATTACTATGACCTCCCATCTCATAAGAAGAACACTCCCACATTTGTCCCTAATCTTACCACCACCATACAACAATCACCTACCCAGGCTAACCATGTTTTCAAAACAACACCCCAACCTTTCCCACCTACAAGAAAATCAACCAGAGTCACAAAAACCCCAACCTATTTCTAAGATTAACAGTGAGCTCTCTTGCAAGGTACTATCTCTCTCTCACAATTCATTCTCTATATTCAAAATTTTATTTCGTGAACTTATCTCTCAACCATAAATTTTTCACTCTTTAAATTATGAAGAGTGATATGTGGACGTCTATCATTTCTGTTAAATATGAACACGCTTCTTATTCCACGGCTACTATTGACCTTAATTGGAAAAGAGCAGTTGAAGATCGAGCTTAAATCCCTAAGTGATAATAAGACATGGGATTTAATCTCACTTCCCCCTAACAAAAAAATTTATTTGCTGCAAATAAAATTTTATAGAATACTATTAAGTACAAAACCCACTTAATTACTAAAAAGTGTGTTTGTTTAGTAGATTAAAATTATAATCTTAAAAATATCATTTCTAAAAATATTATTGTCAACAATTTTATTCCTATCAATATATTTGGCAAATAAAATACCATAAATTTTATTTTTAATTGAATTTTAAAAAATAAAAATTAAAAAGTAAATATATTAAAATAATATGAGAGTTAAAAGTTATGATTGCTTATTTTATATTTTTATAGAAATGTAAGATTTCCATGACATGAGAATAAAAAAATATAAAAATTTATGAATAATTCATGAGATAATTCATCAAAATTTGAAACAAACAAGAAAATCCTAGAGAATTCAAGTGACTCGAAGACAAAGATTGATGAAGGTTTCACCTAATCTAAAAGTTAAAGAAATTGGTTTATAAATTGAACATGACTAAACTAAGTCAATAGACATAAAACCTTAATTAATATGGTTTCAGTGTTTTTTTTATGAACGTAAACATCCAACGACACTAACATGTAAATACTATTTATTCTACTTGGCTTATGTTGGATTTATAAAATGACATTTGCTTGCCCGCCATAAAATGTATCATTAAGATATACTCCCTCTGGTCTCATTTATAAGAAAAGATTAACTTTTTATATACATTGAATAAGTAATGTATTTGGACAATATATTGTCCAAATACATTACTTATTTAATGTATCTAAAAAGTTAATTTTTTCTTATAAATAAGACTATCATTTTTTTTGTGAATAAGGAATAATTTGTTTGTAACCTAAGTTAATAAGAGTGGATATAAGTTAAAGATTGGCAAATAAAACAGCATTACTTTTCTTTTAGGAAGAAAGTATAGAGAATCTCAAGTAAAAAACAGAAGAAACACTACGTAATCAGCACCTTACGAAAACTAATTACAGCGATAATTATATAAATTACAAGGAATTATCTCAACTTCCTCGATCTTTAAAAGACGAACATAGTTAATATTTCCTTTCCAATAAATATTATAAAACTTCACATATCACTTGCACGCCAAAGATATATTCAGGCATTCAAGATAGGAAAAATTTAATCAAGATTCAACGAAACATGATCGTGCAACAAACTAATATAATCCATAAAAGTATGCCCATCTTGCATTTAATTAATAACGCCAATAGTGCACGGAAAACAGCAAAAACATAACCAAAAAGGTAAAAAAAATCTAAGAGTCATCAACAAAAAAAAGCTTAATTCCCTCAAAAAAATACTAAAAAATTAAAACAGCAACTTAATCAACCTCCTCCATCTTGGATCCCTCAGCATCAGCATCAGCTTCCTCCAACGGTGGCATATCAGCATCAGCTTCAGCTGCATCATCATCAATGCTCAATCCAAGCTTCAACATTCTGTGGATCCTGTTTCCAAAGGTGTTTGGCTCGTCAAGGCTGAACCCAGAAGTGAGGAGAGCAGTCTCAAAGAGCAAGAGAACAAGGTCCTTCACGGACTTGTCGTTGCGGTCAGCATCAGCACGTTTCCTCAGCTCCTCCATGATGGAGTTCTCTGGGTTGATCTCCATTGTTTTCTTGCTTGACATGTAACCAGCCATGCTGCTGTCTCTCAAAGCCTGAGCTTTCATGATCCTTTCCATGTTAGCAGTCCAGCCATATTCACCAGTCACAAGACAGCATGGTGAATCAACAACACGGTCAGAAACAATAACCTTCTCAACCTTGTCACCCAAAACCTCCTTAATCACCTTGCAGAGATTGTCGAACTTCTCCTTTGATTCTTCCTGTTTCTTCTTCTCATCTTCAGTTTCTTCAAGTTTCAAACCTTCCTTGGTGGCAGATACCAACTTCTTTCCCTCAAATTCCTTGAGTTGGCCAACAGCATACTCATCAATAGCATCAACCATATACAGAACTTCATATCCCTTCTTCTTCAACTTCTCCAAGAATGGAGAGTTCTCAACAGCCTTCTTACTTTCACCAGTAATGTAGTAGATGTCACTCTGGCCTTCCTTCATCCTTGTGACGTAATCCTTGAGACTGGTCTGCTCATCACCGCTCTTGGTGGAGTGGTATCTTAAAAGTTCAGCAATCTTTCCCTTGTTCTGGGAATCCTCGTGGATACCAAGCTTCAAATTTTTAGAGAAAGCTTCATAAAACTTGTTGTAATCCTCCTTGTTCTCAGCAATTTCAAAGAAAAGTTCAAGGCACTTTTTAACCAAGTTCTTGCGGATAACCTTCAAGATCTTGTTCTGCTGCAATGTCTCTCTTGAAATGTTAAGAGGAAGATCCTCAGAATCAACAATACCCTTAACAAAGGCAAGATACTCAGGAATCAACTCTTCACAGTTGTCCATGATAAAGACCCTACGGACATAAAGCTTGATGTTGTTGGGCTTCTTCTTGGTGTCAAAAAGATCAAAGGGTGCCCTCTTGGGTACAAAGAGAACAGCCTTAAACTCAAGCTGACCCTCAACAGAGAAGTGCTTGACAGCCAAATGCTCTTCCCAATCATTTGTAAGACTCTTGTAGAAAGCAGAGTATTCTTCCTTTCCAATCTCTTCTGGCTTCCTCATCCAAATAGGCTTTTGCTTGTTCACCAAATCCCATTCATGAGACACCTCCTTAATGGTCTTCTTCTTTTTCTCCTCTTTCTCCTTCTCTTCATCAACTTCCTCTACTTTACCCTCCTCATCCTTCTTATCCTCCTCATCCTCATCATCAGAAATCTCCTTCTCAATAGTCTTCTCAATCCATAGAGAAATTGGGTAACTGATAAACTCAGAATGCTTCTTAACCAAATCCTTCAATCGGCGCTCCTCAAGATACTCAAGCTGATCCTCCTTAAGGTATAGGGTGATCTTAGTACCCCTTCCAAGAACCTCACCAGATGTATCCCTGGTAACAGTGAAGGACCCACCAGCTTGAGACTCCCACACATACTGTTCATCATCATTATGCTTGGTGGTCACAATCACCTTCTCAGCAACAAGATAAGCAGAGTAAAAACCAACACCAAACTGTCCAATCATGCTAACATCAGCACCAGCAGCAATAGCTTCCATGAATTCCTTGGTACCAGACCTTGCAATGGTACCCAAGTTGTTCACCAAATCTATAACAATTAACCAAAAGCAGCCAACACGTATTAGAAACTACCATATTAACAATCAATCAACAATTATATCATGCAAAAACATTGCCAACTTACCAGCTTTGGTCATTCCAATACCACTGTCGATAATGGTCAAAGAGTTGTTAGCCTTGTCAGGAATGATATGGATGAACAACTCAGGTTGCCCATCGAGCTTGCTCTTGTCTGTCAAAGACTCAAAACGGATCTTGTCCAAGGCCTATACATTGTTACATAATTACATCATCAGAATCACATACAACATCTTTAATAAACAAAAATTACATCGCTCACTCACACAGTAACACTTTCCACGTCATAATCATAAACAGAAACACATACACAGATTAAAACAACCATTCCAATTCAATTACCAACAATAATCATTATCCCTTATAACGAACTCGTTTCAACATATCAAATCTAACATATTAACCTATAAAAACCCTATCAAGTTAATCATCGACGTAAACCAAACAACAAGGAGGCAAAATAAAATTATAAACACAAAAAAATCCCCACAAATCAGAGTAATTAACAACATAATAGATTATTAATCATAAAAACCCTATGAAAATTCAAATTGAATGTATAACATCAATAAATCACAGATCAAGCAGAAAAACTACTTAAACAGCATCAACAAACCCTAAAAAAGCGAGTAAATCTAAAAAAGCTTACATCAGAGGCGTTACTGATAAGTTCCCTGAGAAAGATCTCCTTGTTGGAGTAGAAAGTGTTGATAATAAGACTGAGAAGCTGGTTGATCTCAGCTTGAAAGGCGAACGTTTCGGTTTCTGACATGGTAGATCGAAGAGTTTTGAGAGAGATCGAGATTGAAGGTGGAGGAGTAGTAGTTAGGGTTTTGAGAGAGAATTGTATAATGTGAGGAAAGAGTGGTGAGTTTTTATATAGAAGAGTTTAATAGGGTTCTAGATCCTTCTGTGACGATTTGTATAATGCCGTTGGGAAGACTTGATTTCTAGATCCTTCCGTGACGGACTCGCGAGTTTAGTTGCGAGTTCATAGGGCGGGCTTGGGCCGAAATTGGAATGGGAATTCGATTGCTTAGTTCACATTCTTATTCTCTATCTTTTTTATATCTTTTATAATTTCTTTTTATATAACAAACTATTTTGGATTTTATTTGGGGAAATCGTGTTTTTTATTTATTCATTTTATTTTGGATTTTGTTTTTCATTTTTTCGTTAAGTTTTTTTTATTAACAGTGAACAGAGACGATTTTATATGGGTTTTAAAATGGAACAGTTCTAAACCAAAACACTCCAAAAAACACCGTGTTGGATTATTGATGTTTTCAGCTAATCATAGACCAACTAACTCTTTGTGCCTTAGGTCGGATGTGTGGTCCATAAATAATTAAAAGAGGACCGGATGCATAAGCCATCAAGAGTTCAAGCCTACTACCTAACCTCAAAATTTTATTTCATATTTATATAATTTTAATTAATTAATTTTAATAAAAAATAACTTTTTTAATTTATTTTATACATCAATTAAACAATAACATTTAGAATATATATATATATATATATATATATATATATATATATATATATATATATATATATATATATATATATATATATATATATATATATATATATATATATATATATATATATATATATATATATATATATATATATATATATATATATATATATATATTCTGGACTAATCCGACAGTTTGACTGGACCCCGTCTAATAGATCTCCTTGGGTACGGTCCGCACGACCATGACCCGAATCGCCTGCACGACTCTCTCTTGTTGAGCACGACAGTCATTCGCCCTTCAGCATCACCTCTGGCCCAGGATGATCGACGAGCATCCTCTTTGTCTGCTCAATATCTATGTCGTGCAGACCACCAGGAATCAACCAGAGAGATGCTCGTAACTAACCCCCTCCCCGAGACCAACGGCTAGTTGCGAGCACATATGCTCGGTCTGACCAAGTCCTGGCAGTTATTTGATTTCACAGACCTGCGTATCTATGTGGCAAATCAGGAACCAATGGCCACGCGCCAGGGGCATTATACAAACCCTCACACATGTGAGGGCCAGGTATTCAATATTCACTACTCACTACCTGATATTGTTGCTTGTACCTCTTTGCTCCCACTCTTACTTGATCGTCGGAGTGTCTTGCAAGTACAACCCCCCTTTTCTCCTCAGCTTACAGTCCGATTGCAGATCATCCTCCAGCCGCTCTTCAGGTTCTGATCAACCGGCAAGATCAGTGGCATCGTCTGTGGGAAACTACTCTCCCCATCTTTCTTTCCTCGAAACTTAAGATCAAAGCAACTTTTCCAAGATTCATCTCTCTAACCATGGCTTATCATGCTGATCTTCACATGTCCGGAAAGACCATTCTTTCCCCTGCTTGCAAAACCGACGGAAGTCAGGAACACCCTCACCTCGAGGATAACCTGGGCTTCCGGGACAGACAAACCGCGTCTCCAAATTCCACGGATGCCCGACGTGGCGACGACTAATTCATGGACAAGGAACATCCCAAGAATCTTGCTAAGGAACTGCCAATAGTCATGCAACCATCCTACAACAAAATCAAAGGATATAGGCCTGGAAGAACAGGCGATCCAGATCTCCTCCTCGGAGAGCCCGGCGATGAAACTCCCCTAGTGCATCACCACTCAGGCGTGGCCCACCGTCCAGAAAGGAGAGGCGTGACGTTTCTTTCTTCAAGAAACGCAATCGCACACCTCCTCCCAGAGATCAAGACTCCCCTTTGTACAAGAAGAGGAAGGACAACAGGAAAATCGACAGTGCTCGACTGCCTTCTCCCAAGCCAAAGAAGAAACGAAGGAGCCCCTCCCCCAGACGGGACCGTGATAACCGACGGGGGAGAAACTATCACTCTTCTCCTCCATCTCCCATAGATAGTGAGGATGACGAACCCCGTGGCCCACTATCGAGAGAGATCACTAAAGCTCCACTTCCTTTCGGCCTAGAGAAGCCGCCCACTTTAGGAACCTACGACAAAACAACAGACTCTGACGAGCATATTAAGAACATCGATGCTCTCCTCGACTACAGAGGGGTCAGGGGAGCCATCAAATGTAGACTCTTACCAACCACTCCCAAGAAGGGGGGATGGAATGGTACAAGAGTCTCCCCGACGAATCCATCACCTCGTGGAAACAACTCGGGAGGATATTTTCAAGGCATTTCACCGCCTCTCGTCGACAACCTAAATCAGAAGCTTTGCTCGAAGCGATCATACAAGGCAAGGACGAGTCTTTGCGTTCTTATATTGAACACTTTAACAAAGAAGCGGTCCAGGTCCCGACAACGAACAATATGAAGAAGTACCTCCTTGAATGCGGGTTGCGTCCCCGCAATGACTTCTCCAAAGCTGTGGGCATAGAAACACCAGCCACACTCGATTCCCTTCTCCTAAAAGCCCAGGTGTACATACAGTACGAGGAGAAGGAAGCAGCCAACAGTGCCCGGGAATCTAGGCACAGAGAGAGTACCAAATCCTCAAAGAATGATGAACCCTCGACATCCCGTCGGAGGGAGAAGAAACGGGAAGACAAACCCCGTGATCCCAAAGACTACAATGGGTCGGCCGGTCGTTTCCACGACTGCACCCCTCTGATAACCTCAAGAGAGCATATTCTTTCTGAATACGCTAATTTTGAATTCAAGCAAGCTGGGGTACGCTTCCCCCGACAAACACCGTCCAAGCTAGAAACCGACAAGAGCAAGTACTACAGGTTCCACAAGAGTCACGATCATAACACAGAGGATTGTATTCATCTCAAGGATGAAATCGAAATACTAATCATAGACGGGCACCTCAAGCAGTATAAGAAGAAGGAGGGTGCCCGTGACTGTTGTACCCCAAAATTTTCCCTCTCACTTTCCTCAATACATACTCCTAGAGGTCCTCAATTGGCTCAAGTTGGCCCAAGAGTTGACCAGACAAACTCTCTCCTAAGGCAGTGTGTCTTAAATCAGGGTTTCCATTTTCATCAAGATAAGTGGAATCCAAAGACCTCGTATGCTCTCCATGCTCTTAATATGTTCACAAGACCCTACATGTCAAGTCTTATGCCTTGCACAAGAAGTTTGCTCAGTCAACTGCTCAGATGTTTGAGAATCGATTGTATTAGGTCAAAAGTCAATTGTGACCCACATACAGTCAAACTTCAAGATTTTTGGTCAACATTAACATTTTGAAGTGACTTTCATCATTTGATCAAGGGTTGATCATGATTCCCCAAGGAATGCTCCAAATTCATCAAAACTCAAAAGTTGTTAAATTAGGGTTTCTTAGTAAAAGTCAACCAAACTTTGACCAAACATAACTTCCACATGCTTCATCAGAAATTTTCCATCCAAAGCTCATTTTTAAGAGGATGCAATTCCCTACAACTCATATTCATCCCACAAGTTCAAAATATGCACTCATAAAAAGATATGAATTTCTACATTATGGGTCCTTTTGAAAAGTCAACAAAAACACCTTTTGGGTCAAAGCTTCTTACATGAACATGGAAGACTCAATTGAAATGAGACCAAAAAGGTTGCTTAGGGGACATCCTAAGATTTCTAAAAAGTCCAAGAACGCCTCTCTAGGGTTAAAATTGGAGGAGATATGCCTTATCAAAGTTGATCTTTGTTTGCAAAATTGCCAAAAGTCAAATATGCTCAAAATTATATTTTTTGCCAAATGGGCCTAACTTTTTATGCTTGCACCTCACTTATAATATGGTCCACGACCCATAAAACCATCCATGCATTATTTTCTTATTTATTTGATTTATTTTGGTTCCAATCATTAAAAAAATTAAATTAAATTAAAGAAATAATGTAGATTTGCTTTGATATGATTTTTGCATTGAATGATGGATCAAATATGTTGAAAATAGACAAGAAAATCGTGCCATGCTATGAAAGGGAAGGAAATATTTGAAAATGGAAAGATTTGAAGCAAAAATAAAAACTCCATATTTCTTTTTGATTTGCTCCATAAATGTTAACCTATTTGTTGCCTCATACATAAATAAATGATTCTAACCCTAAGAGAGGGATTGAACACACGCAGCCTGCCTCAAGAGAGAAAGAAGGTTCCAAAAAATTTCAAAGAAGTGGTGCAATCTTCAAACACTCTAGCCAGCCTCTTTCCCTCGATTCCAATCACTCCATCATCTTTCTGAAATTTCCAGGAGTGGAACCAGACATTTGCAAAGCTTGTAGCATCCTCAAATCAGTAGATTCGTGCCTCACCATTGGTAAAGCTTCTTTGACCTCAAACTCGCGAAATACTTGATTTAAATCCATATTGATTATATACATGTGTTTCTACTGACGTTTATGTGTGTTTGAACGTATCATGTGCGAAGTTAATTCCCAGGATCACGTTATGCCATTGTTGACCGTGGTAAGGGTTCCAAGTTCAAATCCTGTGATGCGTGAGGAATTAGTGAATTTAGATGCCATAGCCGTGATCAGGGGGTCTTTTTAAGGCAGTTGGCATCATTTTTTTGTTTGGCTAAGATTTTCAGGTGACCCACCGGAGAAGACGGTGGAAACCACCGACTCCGGTGGTTAGACTGATCGGTCTTTGGTCAACCAGCTTGCATGGCTATTTCTCATGATCCCATTGACTGGCTCAAACGATGATTTTCTCTCACCACATCTGATTGGCTCATGCTTGCTGACGCGTGCAATTATTTGTTGACCTGGATCTAGCATCTTGTTTTTCTTTATGGTTTATTTGTTTTATAATAATCATGATTAACATTCCAGTGCA